CTTTCAGTACTCTCTGTCTTTAACTTTTGACAATTTGATTATGATGTTTCTCAGTGTATTAATCTTACTTGGCATCTTTGAGCTTACTGAATCAGTATTTCTATTTCCATCTAAAAGCTTGAGAAGCTTCCTGCTTACTGTTACTTTCTCTTTTTCTGGAACATAGATAATGCATATGATGTTCAGTTGATGGTACTCTATTAGTCTCTTAAAGTGGCTTAACTATTTTTCATTATTTTCTATTTTTGCTCCTCAAACTGGGTGACTGACTTTCCCTCTCTCTCTCTCTTTTTCTTTCTTTCTTTCTTCCTTTTTGATTTAAACAACAGAGATTTATATTCTCACTGTTGTGGAGGCTAAAATGTTCAAATCAAGGTGCCACCAGAGTCAGTACCTGGTGAGGGCTATTAAGTAAAAATTATAGGAGGCAGTTGTTTTGAACTAAGATCCTACACCAAACCCCAACAGACCAGAGTAAAAATTACAATAGAGTCACTCAGGCTGAAGTTCAACATCACTAAACTAAAACTAAGTTGTTACCTGACATTCTGAGAAATCAGAAACTTTCATTTCCACTGAGCATTAGCAAGGCACCTTGCCCCTACCTTCCAAGGTGTCAAAGGAGATTGAATGGGAAACTTGGATCTTTATGTCCGCCTGGCAGTAGAGAGGTGGCACTCCCCTTCTTCCCTCAGCATAGTATCTGAGGAAGCCTCCTAAAAGATAGAAAGAGATAATAACCAGTTTCTCAAACAGGGCAGTTTGAATCTTCAATCAGCATGATAATAAAGTTCCTTCTGTTTTAACCCTTAACCTGAAGTAACCTTAAGTTTACTTGAACAGTTATTTTTCCATTTTCCTGCCTTAAAAGGAAAGCAACTTTGACCAAAATACTTTCCATTCTTTATTTTTGCTTTCCTCTGTCCCTCTCTGTCTATAAAACTAACCCCTTTTGCTCAGCTCATTGGAGCACTAATTCTATTTTATAAAATGAAGTGTTGCCTGATTCCAGAATAACACGTAAAGCCAGTTGAGATGTTTACATTTGTTGTAATTTTATCCTTAACAGATCGCTCTCCTTAGGTTGCAGATGACTGCCTTCCTGCTGCGTTCTCACATGGCTTTTCCTTGGTACATGCACTGAGGAGAAAGCAATCTCTTTTCTTTTTATTATAAAGCCACCAATCCTATAATATTAGGACTATAATTTTATAACCTTATTTAACCTTGAGTATCTTCATAAAGCCCTATTTCCAAACACAACAACTTTGGGCTTTAACTTATAAATGTTGGGGGAGGGTACACAATTTAGCACATAGCAAGCTGTAAACAAATATTCATATGCAAATACTAATCTTATTTTTTTAATTCAACTTTTATTTTAAGTTCAGAGGTACATGTGCAGGTTTGTTATATAGGCACTCTCATGTCATGGGCGTTTGTTTTGCAGATTATTTTGTCACCCAGGTATTAAGCCTAGTACCCATTATTTATTTTTTCTGCTTCTCTCACTCCTCCAACTCTTCACCCTCCAGTAGTCTCCAATGAGTGTTGTTCCCCTCTATGTGTCCATGTGTTCTCATCATTTAACATGTAGTATTTGTTTTTCTGTTTCTGCATTAGTTTGCTAATGATAATGGTCTCCAGCTTCATCCATGTTTCTGCAAAGGATATGATCTCATTTGTTTTTATAGCTGCATAGTATTCCATGGTATATATTTACCACATTTTCTTTATCCAGTGTATCATTGATGGGCATTTAGGTTGATTCCATATCTTTGCTATTGTGTATAGTGCTGCAACGAACATACACATGTATGTGTTTTTAGAATAGAATGACTTATATTCCTTTGTGTATGTACCCAGTAATGGGATTGCTGGGTCAAATGGTATTTCTGTTTCTGGCAAGCTTGATAACTTTCAATGATCTCTCTTTGAGTTTCCTGAGTCTTTCTTCTGTTTGATGTAGCCTGCTGTTGAACCCCTCTGTTAGATTTTTTGGTTCAGTTAGAGCATTTTTCAGTTCTATAATTTCTGTTTGGTGAAATTTTTAAAACATTTTTCTCTCTGTTGAAATTCTCAGTTTTGTTACTGCATTGGTCTCCTGATCAATGAGCATTTTTATGACCTTTATTCTAAATTCCCTGTCAGGTAAATTGCATATCTCCACATCACTTGGGTACAGTTTTGGAGATTTATTTTGTTCTTTAAATGGAATATATATCTCTGTTTTATCATTTTCTTTGTCCTTGTATGTTAGTTTCTGCACATTAGATGAGACAACTGCCTCTCCCAATCTAGTCAGCTATAATTTTGTGTCTACTGATTCCTCCTAGAGTTTGCCCACATGATGAGCATCCCACTATTACTGCTTCCACCTGAGACTACATCCTGAACCTCCTACCTCTTGCAGTAGAAAAAATTAGACATATGCAAGTCTCTCTAGACCACAGGAAAAAGTGGTGATTTTTTACAAGTGCATAAGCGTTTCCAGGAACCTTATCTCCCAGGAGCAATGTACAGAAGAGGCTTTAAATTGCAGCTGTCTGTCACTTCCTGGAATGGGTTTACGCACACTGTTCCAATGGCTACTTGGTGTCCTGGTTTCTAACATGCTCTGGGGAGAGAGGAGACAGACAAATATCCTACTGGTAGACTGAAAAGCAGGTTCGTTCTTCCCAGGCTTTCTCCTCTGACTAACTCAAGTGATAAATCCAGGTCTATTAATCCTACTTGAAAAGAGTTTGTCTACTCTTTCCACTCTTAGGACTGCACCCTAAGCCTTCCAACTCTGGGAGTAGAGGTGACTAGGAATATGCAAGTCTCTCTAAGCCACAGGAAAAAGCAGTTTTATATAAGCCTGCATGTACTTCCATGGACTTCATACTGCCACTTCATACTGTGGAAGGAGTGTGGAGAAGAAGCTCTAAATATGCACCTCCATGTTTCTTCCCAGAAGAGATTTATGCCATGCATTGGGTGCTGCAACTTTTATATCAGCCACAATTGACTGAATCCTAAATACCTTCTAGCTCAAAGAACAGAAGAGGGCACATGTGAGTCTCTCTAGGTTATAGAACAAAGAGGTGGTTTTCAATGGGCATCTAAGTACTTCCAGGGGCTACAACCTCTCGGTGCAGTGCAGAAAAAAATACTGGAATGTACAGCTCCCATTTTCCCTCCAGAAGGATTTTCCTGCACATTCTTTCCATGACTCTTGGGCAGCCTTGCTTCTAATGAGCTTGCACTGGTGAGCAAATAGTAGCCTTCCAGTAATCTGAGCCACAGCTTGGCACTTCCTGAGCCTTTCTTCCAGCTCACCCCAGTAATAAATCTAGGTCTATTCATTTTCCTTGAAGGAGGTAGTTCACACACCAAGAGCCACCACTTATACAGCTCCCACTAAATGCATTGTCTTCTTAATGACCTGGCTCTAAGAATCAGTGGGGCTTTCCATTCCTGAATGTCCCTAGGCCATAGAAAACAAATACGCATGCACACTCAGCTTCACCTTGAAAACAGAAGAACTGGAATACGCATCCAACACTCCACCTTCCAACTTACATCTAGAAGGTTTGGTTTCTACCTTACTTTTCTCAGTGTTCTAACAAGACATGCCACATCCTACTCTCCAGGGAGCCACCAAAACAGAGACATAGGTTTGTACAAACAAAGAATTAAGAGGCACCTTAAAAATCTCTGGCCAAATCAATGGGCAAGATTCTTCTTCACTCATTTAGATTTCATTTGAGAAAAGGTAACATTGCATAATAAGGGCAGAAGTCTTCAACCTGGAAGTTAAATTAGATATTTCTGAATCTCTTGGAACATATTTTTGCCTTTCCATTATGTGCTATACATAGTCAAGAACAAAACAATTGATTTGGGTTTCAGGATACTCATTGTGCAATATAATTTACTTGAATCATTTGTACACAACTATATCATTATACTTGAGCCATATTTTCATCTGGTTTTTTTGTTTTCATTTTTGTTTTTTGCCACTACATCCTCCAGTCAGTTTATCTTGGTCAGAATGTGAGAAAATTGGGCCTGCCTAGGAGCACCAGTGGTTACCTGTCTTTGCAACAAGATAGCAGCAGAGCTGAACAAGGCCAATCAGTAAGAAAGATGACAAGCTTTCAAATATTGATATATGTCTTTTACAGTATTTGTGTTTCCCACTGAGGGCAGATCTCATATCCACCTCTTCCTAGGATATCTATACTCACCAGTATCTCCCAACTATTACACTGCTGCCTAAAATACTGATGCCTCAACGTAACCTGTTCTCTTAAGAATATTTATCCATTATAATGCCTGCTTTTCTATTAAGCTTATTATAGTATCACAAGTAGAAGAGGAAGAATAGTGTTAAGAACCAGTCTGCAGTTTGTAGCCCTGATCCTAATTTACAAATAGAAAATCTGATTTATGGATAGGTAAAGATTCAGATTTTGAATCAAAAGGCACATACTTAGATCCGGGGCATCTGACATCCTGTCAATATTTAACCAAGGAAGAAGCAGGCAGATGACAGTGGGGGCAGGATTTCAAGTTACAGGAAAATAAAGCAAGATGGAAGGAGAACTTTCATTAAATGCTGACCCAGTAACCAAAATATTACTAATGTTACTCATTCATCAATATAACAAATATTTTTGAAAATTTACTCTATATCTGACAGTGAATTATATAAATATTATTTGCATTTTATCATTGAGGAATCAGAGCCACAGATTTTAAAAGTAACTCACCCCGTGCCCACAGGATTTCAAATCAGATCCACACAATAAAGCTCATGTTCCTTCTCTTGTGGCAAAGTGTGGCTGGAAGTTAAAAAATGTAACTAGGAGACCACAAAGAAGATGAGAGGAAAACTCCATTGAGGAAAAAATGCATAGCCCCATAATATCCTAAGTCATTTGAAGAAAAACTTTGATTCATGATATATCAGCCAACAATGTTTTCATATACTTTAGAGACAATAACTTTTTCCACAATATTCTTTATTCATTTACCAGTAACAATGTACTATGAATCCAACAATAAATCAGTAGTAAATGTTTTCTGTCATTAATCTCTCTACTTCCCAAGATAATCACAGGCCATCCTTAAAATGCCTTTATTTTTACTAATTTGAAAACGTGTGCTTATGTTTCCTTAAAATGCTATTGTTTTAAAATAAATGCTGATATTTTTATGGGTGAAACTATTTGATGTCTAGGATTTTCTCCAAAATAATGTGAGGGCATAGAGGATATGTGATAGCACATAAGTTGACAATTAGTGAGTTGGGTGACACATACACAAGGGCTTATTTTGTTCCTTATTCTAAATAGTAAAGAATCCATCACCATTTGTGGGCACGAGCTTTCTCCCCAAGGAAATATTGAATATATTTTTCAGCACTTCTTCAACCTCTTCCTCAATCAGAGTTTTAAACTCGACCAGATCTGTATTGTCTTTATAATTGAATTTTCTATAGGCAAGGGTGAAGCCCACCAAACAGTGAACCCCTTCTGGGGTCTGCAAGGAACAGAGTGATGTGCTTATAAATGGAGATGTTGGAGATGTCTGCAGGTATGTATTCATAGACTCAAAATCTTCAATTGCTCGAGGTTCAAGAGTAAAGGAGTACATTTTTTGATGTTTCTTCTTTTGCAGGAGAGCAGAATTAAGAAATTCTTCATTTGGAATATACTGCTCTCTTCTGATTTGGTCCAAGTACCAGATTCCTCTCTCTTCTGTCAAGCGGAAGATGCCAGGAACCTGAGGCTGATCTTTCTCAGAAATTAACTCCAGAGGCTGCCATATCTGCATGGAGCTTCCAAACCCAGCATCGACAATGTAGTTTCTGCCATCAATGGTCACTTGCAGAAGAAGGTGAACGATGCGAGTGCTGTATTTGTTAGCTGGAGAGATGTAAACATGCCCTCCTAACATTGTGGTCTGAAAACCGATTTTGGTCAGAGCCCAGTATAGAAGTTGATTGACCTGGACACACCACCCACCCCGGTTTCTTCTTACAATGAGATCAAAAATAGCCTCTAAGCCCAACTCCATAGCTTCCCCACAGTGCATGTTAAGATTCTCAAAGGGAACAGCTCGGATCTGGTGCTCAAGAATGTCAGTTAATGTTTCCAAGTCCAGTTTGTTCCTAGAGTGCTTATAGCCAATTCTTTCAAAATATGCTTCAATGTCCATGATCCCCTAAGCAAGAAAAACAAAACAGAAAAATATATCATTACTTAAGCACTTGGATATCCTTGAGTGGCTAATCATAGGTATAATGTGTTTTAAACATGTGAAAACACAATGATTATAAGTATCTGTCAATAATTCTTATTATGTGTATTATAATTCTTATGTATATTATAATGCAATAAAAATTGATAGATATAAGTATTTGTCATAATAATTTTTATTTTATTAATTCCTTTTACATGCATAAGGTCACTTAGTCTCAGAATCCTGTAATATAAGTATTATTTTATCTTCTGTCTTTCAAGCATGAGGAGTTGGAAATCCAGATTAAATGAGGAGCCAAATGATAAACAATTTGTTTGTGGTTTTCTTGGTGATAAATAAAAGAGATTCCGATTGGTATCAATTATAATAGGCTTATAAACAGTTTCTCATATAAGTAAGAGAATTATACAAGAGAGTATATGGTATTCATGGTACGTGACCTACTTGGTTTCCCATTTAGCTGTACCTAACGCAAAACTCCTCACTCAAAATATTATACTGATTAACTCTTTCATTCACTGATTCACTCAAGAAATAATTTACAGAATACTTTTGATGTGTTTCCTATTGATCTAGTGATTGCTTGCCCTCAAAAATCTTATATTTTAGTGGAAGTTGAAGTGACACAAATAGGAAACAATAAATGGATAAAACACGTAATCTGTTAGATTGTGGTAAGTGCCTAGTGAAAACAAAAAAGGGCTTAGTGAGTGCGCAGAGAGAGCCCTGATTTCAAATAAGGTGGTTAAAGAAAGGCTCACTAAAACTTTAAGGATGCTAGACAATAAGTTGTGTGGATATGTGTGAGGAGGATTGTTCCCCGCAATGGAACAGAAAATACCAGGGTCCTTAGCTGGAATCTGTCTTGAGTGTTCAAGAAACATCCAGGAAGCCAGGGTGATTGGAGCATAGTCAGTGAGAAGGAGGGTGGATTGAGATGAAATCTGATAGGTAACAGTGGCCTTGGAGCTAATGCTTGCATTTTGACTTTTATTCTCAACGAGATGAGAAATCAAAGTGAGGCAGGATGAGAAACGAGTTATAAGTAGAACAGTGTTTGCCTAATCAAAGTGATCTTTCTAGCTACTGTGTGACTACACAGTATGAAATATGCAGGACCAATTCAAACCCAACAGCTTTAGGACCAAAGATTGGCTCATGGATGGCATGTGACCTAAGATCAATGAAACATTATTAGGGCACTTTTGGTGAAATCTAAGCACATATGTTCTACTGCAAGACTAGAAACTGGTAGGATGTTAACCCAAAGCTACTGGAGTGAACCCACTGAAGAACAACACTAACAAAGAATTTACTATAACTTGACCGGGGAATGTGACTGTTATCTTCCTGTGTAGCAGCATAGGAAGTTTCATGGTTATACTGAAGACTTTAAATATATGCTGTGGCTCAGAAGACAGTGCCCCCATTCAAAAGCTTCAGAAGTCAGTTTTTTTTTCTCTCTCCTGGCCTTTCAAACTAGAATCTCCTTCCCCAAGGCAGAACCTAGAAATCAGAACACTTTTTTCTCAAAACCAGTCATAAAGCCTAAAAATAGTACTCTAATTCACTCTCTCCCTTTCTGTGTATGAACTAGCCATAAAGAAATTATCCAGCTTAACTTGTTGGATTGTAGACCATAAGATCCCTAACCCAGAAGGAAGGGGTACATTCTCAGAGAGGTCAAGAGGAATCTAGACAGGTCTTGCTGGGTTTCCTCACTCAGTCTATTAGCATTAGGTTATGCCTTTTAGCGCAACCATATTTTTACAGATGCCCATACCTTGTTGCATCTAAGCATAAAAGGGACAATTTCCCCCGTGTGTTTGGGTCTTTGTTCTGAAGACTACAGCATACATACTCCAAACAAATCTACGTGCCTTCACTTCAACTGACCTATCTTTTGTGAGCTGATTTTTCAGTAATCCTTCAGAGGGTTTCCGGCCCTTATTCATATGAAGAAAAGCCAAGAGTACAGAATTAAGTTATAATGGAAGAAAACATTGCTTTTTGAAGCTCTAAGATAAAACATTTCAGCATCAGGCTATAGCAACACATTTAGACCTGAGGCCTAAAAAAAAAAAAAAAAAGAGGTGGCAGAGCCAACGAAAAAGTTGAAAGAGAGCCTTAACATCCCGGCTGTTCTCAAATGAAGAAAAGGCTGAAAGCAGCAAGATACACCAGAAGTTGAACTTCTGAGATATCAATCTGAGAAGTTTCAAAAAGAAACAAATAATATTAAACATTAAAACTTCTTGGAATTTAATGAAGAGCAAATCAATACTTTAAGAAACTGTATTGTTCTAACCAATGTTTTGGTTTTATATTGTGTTTTTTTGGTCAAAGCTCAGTTTCCAGAAAGACTACTATAAATAATTCCATTTTAATTAAAGCCAACATAACCACAAACAAAATTTATTTTATAAATTTTATTATACTCATACCACTTACAACATGATCGGACTTTCTGTTGTATCCTAAATCTCCCTCTTTCTTAACCAGTCATCTTGCTTCAGGGAAAAAAATGGACTATATAAAATTTCATACAAAATCATTCTCTTTTTAATCTCTCCTAACTTTATAGCTTTCTTCACATCTCTCTCCCCTACTTACTGGTTCCTTTTTACATTGTTTCATAACCTTTGAATTAGATAAAAATCATTTTCTTTTTAATGCGAATACTTTTTCTATTCGTCTTATACTCTTTTCTCTTCAAAAATATGTCTTACTTTGGCAGATTTTATATACAGAATTATATACTAAGTGAAATTTTTATTTTTACTAGCCTTAAACCTAGGAAGCAAGAAATCCTAAATTGTATATCAGGTATCACCATTTTATAGATGAAATCACTCTACAATTTTTAGACATGTTTCTCTAAATTATAATCCCTTCTTAACTGTAAATGACCCAAACTATTAATGAGTAGCTATTATATAATCCAAAATAAGTTTAAGATTTTAAATTACATAAAAGTTTACCGATAAGCATTTATCTCTCTCATTTATATTTATTCAATTTATTCATTGTTAGCAGTTTACCTAGATTACTTTGAGAACTGAGACATTAGACAAAACTAGTTATCATTCAAAGTTATTTCCTTGCTAACCATTTTATAGCCTGTGAATATCAGGTTTTCACCCAAATGTAAACCTTAATGTTAAACATTTGTGTTTTTTTTTTTTTTCTCCAGATAGCTCAGGATTTAGCTGTTTTTATTAAACCAATAATATTAAGCTAGTCTTATATATTAAAAAGTTATAGGCTGGTCATGGTGGCTCACACCTGTAATCCCAGTGCTTTGGGAGGCTGAGGTGGGCGGATCATTTGAGGTCAGGAGTTTGATACCAGCCTGGCCAACATGGTTAAACCCTGCCTCTACTAAAAATACAAAAATTAGCTGGGCATGGTGGCTGGTGCCTGCAGTCCCATCTACTCAGTAGGCTAAGGTTCACTTGAACCTGGGAGATGGAGGTTGCAGTGAGCCGAGAAGATCGCACCACTGTACTCCAGCCTGGGCAACAGAGGACAGAACAAGACTCTATCAAAAAAAAAAAAAAAAAAATTACAAAAACAAAGATCATTCCGTTCTGGGCTGGATTTGTAGTTTTAAATGCCAAACCATGACACTTTACAATATCTAGCAGAAATAAATACTGCCTGACCAATAAATTCAGATAAAAATGTATGCTCATAATTCTAAAGATATTTCTATTTTAATTTCACCGTCAAATAAAAATCCATCTTATTTATTAAACATTTACTTAAGTCACATGAACCTGAAAAGCATTTGGGCTTAATTACCTAATTGTGAGTATTTCTTTATATGTAAGCCAATTTAACACCATGCAGCCACTACACATAACAAAATATATGTCTATACACATCTAAACACACATACGAAGATCCTATGCAGTTTACTTCACAGCTCTAGCCATGAGGTAACAACACAAACTTACTGCTTTATAAAAAGATGGTTGGATCCAAATTATTTCTGGCAAGATTGGGACCTATTCACACAACTAAACTTTAGTTACCCCTACAGGTAATATAATAAAGACTGTGGGCCAAAATTTTAAGTAAAACATTTTCCATTGCAGCTTCGCTTTAAAAACCCTTTTGCTCTTTTTTTCTTTCCAAAATGAGTTTAAGGATAAATTCTCAGTGTTTTCAGTTTAGCTAGAATGGGCTGCACTGTATAAGAAAAACAAAATCTCAAAATAGCACTGAATTAATACCATAAACAGGCTCATTTAAAATCTTCCTCAAATACACTCATCTCTCTCTTGCTTGATCTGTACAGGTACCCCAGAACCTAAAGTATAATTAAAATATGTATATGTTAAAATATATATTAAAATTAAAAAAATAAATATATATATTTTAATTGTACTTTAGGTTCTGGGGTACATGTGCAGATCATGCAGGACATATTTTTAATTACTATATATTAAATTTTAATATATTTTAATATCTATATTTTTAAATTGTACTTTAGGTTCTGGGGTACATGTGCAGATCATGCAGGATTGTTGCATAGGTACACACATGGCAATGTGGTTTGCTGCCTCCATTCCCCTGGCACCTACATCTGGCATTTCTCCCTATGTTATCCCTCCCCAACCTCCCCACCCCCTACCTTTGCTCCAGCAACAGACCCCAGTGTGTGATGCTCCCCTCCCTGTGTCCATGTGTTCTCATTGTTCAACACCCGCCTGTGAGTGAGAGCATGCGGTGTTTGATTTTCTGTTCTTTTGTCAGTTTGCTGAGAATTATGGTTTCCAGATTCATCCATGTCCCTACAAAGGACATGAACTCATAGTTTTTTATGGCTGCATAGTATTCCATGGTGTATATGTGCCACATTTTCCTTATCCTGTCTATCGTCGATGGGCATTTG